GAGTGTTGAGAGGGTGGTGTGTGTGTGTGTGTGTGTGTGTGTGTGTGTGTGTGTGTGTGTTTGCAAAAGAGAGAAAGAAACACAGAGAGGTAAAGTGACAGACAGACGTGGTTATTACAGAGTGCCTCCTAGAGGCAATATTCACGCACACATATAAACATACACGCCAAATGCATAACAATACTTGTACATACAAACACATAAAAGCTCAGTCTTTCACAGCCTATATGTTTTTTTTAATTGACCCTAATCCTAACCTCCTAAATTGCAGCAATAATTACCACAGTGATAAATTATGTGCCATGTAGGATGGATGACAAATGAAAGTGTCTCAGGAAGTGCTGGGCCTTCACATCGCACCAGAACACCTACAATGCGCCTCGATATTGATTCTTCAAGTATCTGAACTCTGCTGGAGGGATGAGCATCATCCTTCCAAAAGATATTTGATCATTTGGTGTTTTGATGATGGTGATGGAGACGCTGTCTAACACCTCGCTCCAGAATCTCACACTAGCAGTTTTCTCCAGTTGTTATTACTATAATCCAACAGCCGAACACACTTGTGACATTCTTTCTACAACTGAAATCACATATTGCTAGGATAGAGGGCTCATGCAGAAACTGCGCACTTGTGGGTTGCTTTGCTTTCACTCTTCACCTGGAAAGTCTTGACACTGTGCTACAATTCCATCATTCTTATTATTTTCTTCTACACAACCTGGGGGTGTTTTTGGCTCATTATCCTGCTATAAGATGAAACCCTGTTAAAGTCTAGCTTCCTTTGTTAATGGTCTTTTTCCAAATAGTGCTTCAGAATGTGTACTAACACTCTTTTCCAACTCTGTCCTTGTGCAGATAGGATTTGTTATGGTACTGTAAGTCATCGACAAAAGACACTTATAGAAGTTTGTTACATCGGTTTTCAAGGCTTCATTTACTTCCATTTACATAAAGATTTACACACAATCCATTAGCGTTTAGCGTGAAAAGATTTCTTTGGTCCTCATTATAATATCTCTGTCTCTCCAGATGTAGCGTGCTTGCCATTTCTTTCATCCACCAGTCTTAAGTGGATATAGTATCCATTTTTTATATTAATTGAAAGATAAGGAATGTGTTACTCCAAGCATGGCTATAAGATGGTCAGGTTCCCAGTTGTTCCCAAAAGCACTGGAGAAACAATGAAAAATTCTTTTTCAATATGAGTGCAATTTACTACAAGACTAGAGAGAATGGTTAAATTACAGACTGTAGACTTGCAATGATTACAGAAAGTATGTGGACAAAGATTGTGTAGCTTTTCCCTGGAATAACAGAGGCTGTGTAATGTTTTAATCTGTATAAGCCGACGTCTTGCATTAACCGAACAATCACATATCATCTTTAAACTGTCATCCAAGACTTGGTCTCTTAGGTCTACATTTAGCTTGCCCATGCTTAATGCTCAGTGTGCTAAACTGAACTCTACCGTGCAGGATCTGATAAGAAAAAAGAAAAACTGTCTACCCGAAAAGGACCAGGGTCTACACTTTGTGTTTGAATATCAACCTAGTGTCCATAATGTACATTAAGTTCCATGAAGTTCACAGCTGGCTGTGTGTGTGTGTCTGAGATATTGTACTCCCATATTGTTGTGGACCAAAACAAGCTTAGTTTACTTTGTCAGCTGTGGTTATATTAGCACTTGACCAGACTGAAATAGTTTTTCACTCTGAAATGGCTCTTTGACCCAAAATTGCAGAATGCTTGGATTTTTATTGTCTACAGGTCAGGAAATTTCAAAAATGTTTTTTTTTTTCCTGATCATTATGACCATATAAATTTTCACAGCACTAATAGCATGAATAAAATAGAGCCCTGTTATACTCACCATTCTGCTGCTTTTAATATAAATATTGTTTTCATCAAGTTTACTAATTTCCAGCTGCTGATACACTTCCCCTAAAGGATAAGGCCGGCCAGTTTCTATATTAACAGTATTTTCAACACTCCCCATACAGAGACTAAAACTGACAATGAATTGTCTCTACTCATGGTTAATGTTGGTCAGTGTGTGAGTCCTAGATCAGAATTTGTGAAGTTGGGTGAATATCAATCGAGTGAACTGGACATTGTATGTGGAGTGCCTCAGGGTTCAGTTTTGGGACCTAAATTATTTATATTATACATTAACGATATATGCAAGGTTTCGAATTTAGTGAAAGTGGTCTTATTTGCTGATGACACTACCATATGGGCATCGGGTGAAAACCTACAGCAACTCTCTGGACAGGTTTCACAGGAACTTGTGAAGATAAAGAAATGGTGTGACAGTAATATACTATCTCTGAATATGGATAAAACTAAATTTATGGTATTTGGGAATCGTAGACTA